GCTACTTTGAAATTTCAAATTTTGGTTTTACCACTCAATTTTTTTTTTCAACTTCATCAACATGCTTCCATCTCTTTTTATTTTCCAAGCTTTCTTCATCTCAAAGTTTCCTATTTTCTTGTAACTTCAAAGGAATCGATCACTTGATGCTTGAGTTCAATTCTTGTCCTCCAGTGTTTCTTTTTTATGCTTCTACCTTCACAGGGATTGCCGTTTCACTTCTTGAGTGCTTAATTCTTCTAATCTAGTATTTTTTGTGTCTTTAAGAATTGATGTTTCCTTTCCCAGCAGTTGATTCTTTTTGCTTAAACTTGAGATTCAAAGTATATCAAAGATTTTTCCTTTCACAAAACAACTTCAAACACAAGTTCAAATTCTAATCAAGTAAAGAAACAATAATGCATATCCAAAGCACTCAAGGATCACTCAAACCTTGAGGATGACTTAAACAAGAAATTTTGATAATTTTTGTCTTGTAAAAACTCTAATTATTTTCAAGCTAGTAAAGCTAATAGTTTTCCCTTTTCTGATATGACAAAATTTTGAGCAAACTTTGCTTCAAAGTACTCCCCTTAAATAGTTGCAAGGTTCAAAACTTGATGATCAAGTATTCCGTATTGAAAAATGCAAATTTTCACAATATATCTCCCCCTTTTTCTTATATCAAAAAGGAAAATAGAAACTAAGTAAGCAGAATTTGCAAAACATAATAAGCACAATAAGTAATAAACTAATTGTTAGAAAAAGATATTCAGTTATCACATCAATTGTTATCCCATCGATATTCAAAACTAATATCAATTGATAGATATAAAGTTCCCCCTTTGTAAAAGCAAATAAGCACAAGGTGAATTTTAAGGGATAAACTCATTTGAAAGCCCATTTTATCAATTCATAAAGTTTTGGTAAAAACTCCTCCTTTCATTTAGCATTCCAAGCATATCAACTTTAAAGCTTAAAAAGATTTAAGAAATATATGATCAATTCTAAAGCTCAAGTGAGAAAAGATAATACAAAGCTTGATGCATATTTAAATCTAGATACCAATAGAAAATACCTAAAACTTGATCCTAATGGTTAAAATAAACTTGATATAAATTGTGCATTTCAACACTCAAGCATAAGTGAGAAGCATTAAAGCATATTTAGTGTTAGAAAGATATTACCGATAACAAATAACACCAAATTGTTGAATTCTCACCATAGCTTATTGTTGAAGATACCAAGTGCTAATGACACCAATCTTGATAAACTCCCCTTAATGAATCATAAGTTCAATACAAATTGCTAAGAGAGAGTTGCAAAAAGTTTGTAACCATGTCCAACGCACCATTAGTCCCAAGTATCATTCCTAATCATTTTCAAGCATCGTTAAGTATTCTTAATTTTCATCAAGCATAACATTAAGCATCATCAAGAATTATCAACCAAGAAATATTAATCAATTATTTTGAAAGAATTATCCAATTCATATAACAATAGCAGCTTAAGCAGAATTTCCACAATAAGAACGTATTATCAAATATCAAAATAATATTATCATTAAACATTTTTACCAAGCATTCTTCCAAATTATTATCAAGCAAGCATTTCAAGAAATATTCTCCAAATTATGTATGAAACTATCAATTCAAGAAGAATATTCTCATCAAGAAAAATATAATCGCCAATGAAGTATTACCAAAGCATTCAACACATGCTGCAATCATGTAAGAAGATATCATGATCAAGCAAGTTCAAGCATGATTACAAAAAATATATATTTGGCTATCTTCTCCAATCATGATTCCAGCTTGTTCCATGCAATGCAGGTATGATTTTACTTTTCCTAATATATATAGACATATAAAAAAATGCAATCATTGAAGTTCAAGGTATATGCTATTCCTTAATAAGTCATGATTCATGCGCAATATCAATCAACAATAAAGCACCCAACTCATGAATGCATTCTAGGTGAACATCTGATTATCAATGAATACCAATTGTCAGGATTCAAGAAATAAGCATTCAATTGGTAACCTATAAGCTCAATTTGGATGCACACAAAGTCTTTAATTCATGTAAACATTTAAGCTCATGGAAGACATAGTTAATATTTAAATGCAAGTTCCAATGATATTTCAACTATGCCATCACAATATATGTCCTGATCAAACTTGACTTGAGTTATAAAGTTAAGCACTAGGAGTAATCCTATAACTTAAGTCAACTGTTAGACTTTGATCATTAAAGTTAAGAAAAATTAAAAAATCATGGAAGCATGTAACTCGACTGAGAACAATAGATGAACAAAAAAATAATTCATGAAGTTCAATGAGTTCATCATGATCAAATTCATATGCATAATCAAGGAGTCAATCTTGAAACAATCATTTAAGCACAAACATAAGACATG